TGCTTGTCCTACATTTGTCTACCTCATTTATTTAAATGGTTCTACTCGAGGGTAACATGCATGAATGGCTTAGATAAGCACTTTTCATTATAAATCTTCATAAAAAAATAAAAGAAAAAGAAAATTCTCAAAACCTTTTGAACATTAATTTTAAATTGAATTATCATCCTAACAATTTTAATATTCACGAAAATAATAAAAATCCCCCATGCCTTTCTCTCCCCAGATTTTGGTCAGTGACCATCGGAAACCGATGGTAAAAAAATCTAATAAAAATACCAAAAAAATTTATCTTTTCTCCCTTTTTCCCTTAATCTAGATTTTTTTTTTTTCAAAATTTATCCCAATTTTTCTAGATATAAAATTATAAATTTTTTTTCCCAAAAAAAGTTTGGCCCTCACTTAATGGTTTCATAGTGACGACTTATACAAATACATATGTGGATATCTTGAGAATTATTTCAACACATGATTATGGGTGCTAATTATATCTTTTGGAGATGGAGAGTTATACTACAATGAGTTTGTAGTTATATGTGAAATGTGAGAATAACATGGACCTTATGAGCTTCCTCAACTCTTCGGATGTGTGTTTCTTGAAGTTCTCATGATGAATGAATCAGCCACAGCCTGCAACCTAAGGAAGCTTTTACTTTGTTTGCTTCAGAGTTAAGAGCCTTATGATCATGCTATGCTTCAGAGTTGATTCCAAGGGATCTACAGTTCCAAGCTTGTGCTTCGAAAAACATTGTTTTGATGCCTTTGGGTTTGCTTTTGTTGTTTAGTGGGGTTTGCTTAGGGTATAGTTTTTTTCTTCCTCGTGATTCTTTCCCTCTCGTCTTCATATTATACTTACCTTGTCAAGGGCCGTTCTTGTCTTCCCTGCTGCCAAAACCCCACGTCTTTTCTACTTCGTCCTGATCACCCTCCTCATTCTTTGAAGCTTCTCAAATCATTGCTTTCTCATTGTTAAAGAAGACAAACTACATTTTTCTGAATATCACACTTGTCTAATAATATTTTATTACTAACTACATTCTTTCTTACTTTTTATATAATTTATATTTTGATAATCGAAACAGTTCGATTTTATGCTTCATTTATATAAATAGTACATATTACTTTTTAAATTAATTAAACTTATTTAACTACTTTTTTATATAAATAAAATTTTAATGTTAAACATAAAATTTTAAAAATAATGTTCTTGATGAGTGTGATTAAATTATCAACTTGATTTGAAATTTTATACGAATTATAGGGAGAAATTGAATTCAATCATTATATGTATATCTAATATGTTTTGAAGTTTAATTTTATAAAATGAATAATTGATTTCTCATTTTCAGAATTATGAGTGAATTTGACAACTACAATACTAGGAAATAGACTGTGAGTGAAGTTAGAATAGCTATTCTTTTAATAAAATTCATACATAACTCGATTTATGGCTAATGATATATTAATTAAAATCGTAATTTTATTATAAAATAAAATTGTGAAGATACAATTTAAGAATTAAATAAATTTGATTCTCCTCTATGTCAAAGAGGAGTGAATATGTCTTACTAATACATTTTAAGTAATAATTTTGAAATATAGATATGATCTTTGAGATTTAAAAACAATTACATAACTGTAATATTACATCGAGTTTACAATTGGGTCACCCATGATAATATATTTGAATCGGTATTTATGTTATCAATTGTCAGCTAATATATATGAAATATGTCTTCCAAAAAAAATATTTTGAAGTTTGTTTGATTAAATTTTTTCACTAACACCCTTAAATTCAAGTATTACTCTCATAAGTCATCGTTTAGCAATTCCATCAATGCAGGGTAGAGTAGTAACTTCCATCTACGACCAAAATTTCATTCCTTGTCCAAGCCAATTTCAAATATTTTGCCTAATTATTAGGCCATTATGTTGTATTTTGACAAAAGTTCAAGAATCAAAACTCAGCAAATTTTCAAAGAAGAAGAAAAATGAAGAATCGACAGTAGAAGATCTTTCAAGACCGTAGACAAAATCATTCCACTACCATTCCTACACATCATCCCTTATCCAAGTACAAACCAAACCAAAGCTGCAACATTCAACCCTGAACTTACAATCTCCTCCTTTGGGATGACT